AGCTCAAATATAGAACATTCCTTTAAATGGCAGGATAAAAAAACCCACCATCCACCTCAGTGCATTTTGGGAAGATGTCTGTAGCATATGTTGCTGTGAAATTAGGCCTTGTGGGATATGGCTATTTGTCATTTTGATGTATTTAAATAAATATATATATATATTTTTAAAGAGCCTTTTTTACCAGTTTGAAAAGTTTAATTAACCAGCAGTCACCACATCTGAATTTTTGTCTCTGGGGCATAGATAGCAGACCAAGATTAAAAGTGGCAATTCAGCCATAAGAGTGTGGGCTGCCTGCCTGGGTTGTCTTGCCGTCCTCCTGACCATGGGACACCAATGTCAGTGTGTTCCCAGTGGGGTTCCAATTCAGCCCTCTAAGTGTTTGGTCTCTGCCCTGTTCAGTGGACTGTTGACTTCAGTCCCTGCAAGTGCTTTCGCCCGAGTGGGGTTTTCTCCAAGCACTGCCACAAGTTAAGTGTATGTTTAGCCAAATAATTTCTCCATAAGGGAAAAATGCAGTCATCCAAATTTTACCAACAATGACAGAGATCAGAGTAGGAAACATCAGGCAATTTTTTTAAGTTTTAATTTGAAAGTGTCCAAGTCATAGTTAAAGGCCGTCTGGGAGTAAGTGATCATTTAGAGACTCTTCGGGAGACTCATCTGAAAATGTTAAGATGGCCAGTGAGAGGAGTAATCATTAAAAATGCCAGCGGCTTTTTTCCCTTCATTTTTTTCTAGAATTCTATAAAAATGCAAAGAAAATTGAGTGGTACTTGAGAATTGAGGGAGAGGGTTACCGCAGATTAGAAACATATTTCTAGATTTCAGTTCCACACCACAAATCCACACAATGCCATTTTTCAACTGTACAAAAGAATCTGCTTATGAATTTGACATAGTCTTAATGGTAGTGTCAAAGGCCAAATTTTTCACCTGTTAATATTTTTCCACATTTGTCCTTGAATCTGAATAACTTTATACAGTACTGTAAATTTAACTTACATTGAGTTTGATGTCAATTCTTGTGAAAAGAGCTTTCTGCATGTAACAGAACACACAGAGTACAAAATTTGCAGGAACAGTTTTGGAACCAACAGAAAATGTCACCTTTCATTTGCCATCTTATATATCAGTTTTACCAGCTACTTCTAAATTTGTACATTATTTGTAAAGAAAAGAAGGAAAACCCTAAGACTTGTCTAACTTAGTGGAGAATGTGTGTGTTGGGCTTAGGATGGATAGCTAAGTCTTATTGAGCTGTGTTATCTAACTTGTATATAAGAAATTGTACTTAAAAGTTTGGATTCACCTGTTTCTCACAGTTTAAAACGATGAGTAATTGCAAATTCTGGAAATGTGACTAGCATATGGTTTAAGGCTGTAGAAGTGAGGAAGCTCTTTCAAGTGCTAAAAGTAAGACTTCTAGTTTTTGGCTCAAATTCAATAAGTACTGTTTGTATACCAGGATATGTGAGATGTAAATGTAGTAGGTCACTTTTCACCCTTGTAGCTATAAAATAAAAATTTTGTAGATCAGAAATAGCTTGTACTACTGAATTAACAAAAGTTATACTAAAGTATCATGTTTTAAAAAATATATATATACAGAGTTAAGCTTGTTGCTGTTACCCTGTCTGGATTTGAAAAGTGTGCTGATTTATATACATATATATTATTCACACACACACATCTAAAATGGCCTAAAGCAGACATCTATGTAATTACAGTTGCAAAATGAAAACATTTTGGAAAGAACATTGTATCATAGTTCATTCATTTGCAGTGGATCTTTGTTCCTTTTTACTGTGGTAATTTTAGAAATGAGTGTCAAGTTTGAAATTAGATCTGCTAAGTTGGGGTTTTGCTGCTTGAACTCTGCACTGGGTCCTCAAATAAACCGATGTGAATGTAGTTTTTTCCCCCTGTGTGAAGAAGCAGCCACACCCCAACAGAATAGGAGGAAAAATCTAGAACTGTTTCAAGTTTTATCTTTTTGTATATGAAAATAAAATAATAATAAAACAATCTTGTTGTCTCTCTTAATCACATCAGGAGACTGAAGTTTCTTTTCATGGGAATTAGAAATGTATAACATAGCACTCACCCGCTAACTCGAGTTGACCTTTGAGTTCCTGCTTGGTGCACATACAGTTGTAAATGGCTAGTCTACCGTGATTCTGTAGGGCTGCACCTAGTCTCCCATGATCCTGTGGAGCTGCAGCTAAGCACAGGTCTCCATTTCCACCATTCAGAGGTCCAGGGCCTAGCTGGGGGACACTATGGGCTTCTCCTAAATGGACTGTTCTGGGACTTTGGGTAAGTTTCTGCAGGACATAGGTGTATTTTCTAAATCTCCAAGATTCTGCACCCCACCACCAGTCTTATACTTTGCAGATAACCCTGAGCAATCAATATATTTGAAAATGGAGCAGAGAGGCTTTGAAAATGAGTTGTATTCAGGGCTATTGCAGAATATAGGCTTTGCTATTCCCAGACTTTGTTGACTACTAGGATCACTTGCTGAGCTGTTTTATTATTGCCCCCCCCCACTGCCATCTGAATCTGCAAACCAATTCTCATGTTTTAGAGTTCCCGACTTAACCTCACTAAATGAAAACATAGCTCCTCTATAATAAAATAATGATGGTCTCTGATACTAATAAAACAGGAAAGCCCCAGAAATCTGCAGTAACAAAAGATTATTTTGGCCCATGACTAGTATTTCTCTGTAAATCCTTCTGGTGGGGTTAATGCCTTTTAGTTTACCCTTTATTATGAGGATTAAACAACCTGTTTGAAAGTCCTGGAGAAGATTTTTGGTGAAGGGGCTCTTTAGTTAGGGACCAGTCCAGTTGTCCAATCTTTGGTTCTGTTTGCTCTTTCAGATTTAGAAAGTTCACCTTTTATTAGTAAGTGTCCCTAATGAAGAACACAGAGAAGGAAAGGAAGGCAAAAGGCTGACACTTTTGATGGAGGAAATTGGAGCTGGAAAAGCTGAAGGGTTGGACCTTAGGGGTCATGTGGTCAAACTTTCCCTTTAGCAAAGGAATTCTTTCACCAAAAGAAATTTGAAACAATCTGCTTATAAAAGCAGGTTTATCTGAGTGAGCAAGTAGAAGAGGACTCAGGGGCCATTTAACTTACCCTCCCATCCCTTCCCTTAAGTCTCAAACACCGCTTATGAAATACTAGGGTTCCCCTGATTGCAGTTTAAAAACTACTGGTCCAATCTCATCATTTTGCAGGTGGGCAGACAGGCCCAGAGGCAGTTTCCTTACCCAAAGTCAGGCAGTTCTTCCAATTCTTAACTTCTTGGGGCCAAGCATGGAGTTCACTGTCTCCAAGTACAGGATCTGGATGAGGAAAAGTCATTTACCATTTATCTCTCTCTATTATTTAGCACAGTGCCCAGCTCTTTGGAGAGCCTTGAGAAATACTTTTAAAGTGACTATATTTAGTAAATTCTGGTGGAAGCTGCCAACGTGGCCTTGAAGCCTACAGGTAACCAGTGTTTATTGTATTTGTCAGGACTCTTGGTTGCAAGTGACAGAACCCATAACACAAAAAGTGAGCTTCATAGGAAGGATCCTGGGGGAAATAGCCAGCAACTTGGGAAAGGCAGGGTGCATATGGGCTTAAGGAGCTTGGAAGCCAGAGTCACAGATTTGCAGGCCTACTCTACCTGTGTCTCAACATTTCTTCCATTGTTGCTTAGTGCAAGACTAGATGCATCTGCTCCCTTGTCTACTTAGAAGGAAACAAGGCTGTAGACAATGTTAGAATTTCATATGTCACTGCTTTGCTACCTGCAGAGAGTACCAGATCCAAAATCCCTAGAAAGGACTCTGGTTGACCTAGCTGAACCAGTCAGGGTCAGAGTGCCAGAGGATTATACAACATGACTTCACAAGAGGTATTCCCAGGGAAGGGACAGCCTCCTGTCTGAAGCTATCAAAACAATATTTACACATCTTCAGTTGGTGGTTAGAAATGGCCTCCTGCTGAGTGAATCATCACTGGGGTCAGGTGAAAAATTTTCCTATCAGGTTTCTGAGAAATTGGAAATTTGAAGGTTCTGCAAAGAATTAAGTCCACATGGAATGCTGGAGATTGTGCTACAAAATGACCCATTTAATTGTGAGTGGACGTCCATGAAATACATATATCCTTTGTTAGCAGGCATTCAGCAATCAGATTTTACATTCTATCAAGACAAAGAAAGTAGAGACGACTCAATAAAAATTGCTAACATTTAGAGAGCACTTAACGACATCCTAGGTACTACTTCCCTAAATGCTTTCCATGTGTCATTTCCTTTAGTCCGCACAAGAACCCTATGGTCTAGATACTATTATTATTCCTACTGAAAAGGAAACAAGCCTAGAAAGATGAAGCAACAAACCCACTGCAAAGCAGCTGAGTGGGGATTGAAACTCCCGCAATCTGATCCAGGGTCCTGAGCCAACATGGAGGACTGTCTTGCCAAGAAACTCTATAGGAGGTACAAAGCTGTTTTTAGAAGTTACGATTTGTATACAATATGATTTTGAAGGCAGGCGTCATGAGGACATCCAATGTGGCACAGGTTTTGGAATCAGACCTGAGCTGGAATCGTTGCTCTGGGGACCTTAGTGTAACCGTGTGCAAGTGTTTACTCCCCTATTATATGGCACTAAAGGCATTTTCTTCTCGGACTGTATATGAACACCACTTGCCTTCAAGGCATCATACTACCACCCATCATTACCCAGTACAGTGGACCGGGGATGAGGGGAGGGGGGATGCGCCTGGGCTTCCAGGTTTGTCACCAGGGGGCGCGCGAAGCCCTCAGCTGGGACGTGCCTGCGCTCTGAGTCTCGCGTCTCTCGAGAGGCTCAGTGCCAGCCGACTCCAGGTCGCGCATGCGTGTCTTGGTTCCGCGGTTGCGATTGGCTTTCAGGCTGCAGACCCGGTGTGCGCATGCGCTGCGGTTAAAGGCTGATGCCTTGGGTAATATGGCCGCCAAGAGTTTTGCTTTCCGCCTCAGAGGCTCCCGGCGTTTTCTGAGTGGCTTCGTGGCCGGGGCTGTAGTGGGCGCCGCAGGAGCAGGACTCACGGCCCTGCAGTTCTTCCGCAGTCAGGGCGCCGAGGCAGCATTGGCAGGGAGGGAGCCGGACGGTAAGTCTGTGGGCTCGCTGTCAGTTCCCCGGCCCAGGTTTCGGTCGGGACCCTGCCTGGGGCGTGAATCGTAATCCTCCGCGCGCAACTCGCTCTTTGCGGGTCCCGAGCCTGGCGCTTGGTTTCCGGCTTTTCCGTTCTCCCGGCTCGGCCTCCCCTTCCCACCTCGTCTTCCTGCTTCCCTCAGGTCCTTCCTTCCCCCCGGGACCCTCGTTTTCTCCACAGACCCCCGCCCCGGACCTCCTTCTTCCCCCGAATTATTCGTCGCGAAATGTATGTTTCAGTGTCTGTGCCCTCCACTAGGTTGTTAGCTCCGTACGAGTTGGGCCTGTGTCTGTCTGGTTCTCCACCACACACCCAGCGCAGTGCCTGGTACGTAGTCGGTATCGATAAGTGTGGATGAAGGAATACATTAACGCATAGTTTTAGCAGATTACTTAACTGCCCTAATTTTTTCTTTGGTGTTCAGATGAAGAACACCTGCTAGCCCTTCTTCAAAATACGTAAATCCTCAAGTTACCAGGGGTACCTTGTATTTGCCAAAAAAGAGGAGCACATGCTCATTTTTCACATTTTCCCCGACATGCTGATTTAACTTGCTCCGTTTGATACTTGGCGTTTAGCAAGAGAACTACTCTCGTGGTTTGAGGATTTGAGAAGGTATCAAGAGAAGATTGTTTTGAAAGTATCAAGAGAGGATTGTCTTGAAACTGACTCACTGTTAAGTGTGTGCTTGGTTTCTCTCGCCAGGAAAAACAGTACTGGTCTTAACTACTGTCTTGCTACAGCACACATCTCAGTGCTTCAGATCTAGAACGATGAGGAAGAGTGTCAGTGAGTGAAGGTCTTTTAAAAAACTGAAACTAAGGCCGTGCTTTTGTCCTCACTCTTTAACCTATTAAATAGGTAGGCTCTTTCTCATTGTCATATCCATGATTAACTGCTGGTAATGACATGAGTTTTTCCTTTGAGTGCTGCTTTCGTACACACAGTTTTTCGTGGGGGCAGAGAGATTTGGAAATTTGATCAAGACCAATAACCTCAGGTCCTTCCTTAAAAGTGAGTGTGATAACTGCAGTTTATTTTGATATAACTGTACAATTGATGGTAGGCAAAACCAGTACTTTGCCTACTGTTTTCTTTGTCTTATAAGTAATTGCAAAAATGAGACCTCCTGGTTGATTACACTTTTGAGCCAGTCAATCGTAAATCTCACTCCCTCTCCTTTTCTTTATCATCTTTCCTTCAAAATAAGAGTCACTAATTATTTGTTGTTTTTCTCCCCCCCCCCCCCCCCTC